TTAATGGACTTAACCACCATGAATTTATCCAGTTCTCTTTTAAACTCTGTTATAGTCCTAGCCTTCACAACCTTTTCAGGTAACACTTTTGGGACTCAACAGAACTGTACATGATCTCCAAATTGGTGAGGTAACGGAACTGAACTAATAGAGAAGAGAGAGAAAAAGAACTGTTACCCTGTGCCAAAGACTCTGTTTGTGAGTTCTGTATACTACTGATTCATCTTTACTGAAGACTTTGTGAAGGGATTATGCAGAAGAGATGACACAGGGGCAGCTTTCTGGTGAGAGGGCAGCAGCTGTATTAGGTGGTGGAACCTCAGGACCAAGCCAAGCAACCCTTTTCCTATGGGCTGGAGGCAAGTCTGCTTGAGCACACTTCAAGACTCTGGGACTACGCTGTCCACTGACACCACACTCTGAGCGGTGTTAGTGGAAAGGACGGGGAATAATGTAAAAGGAACATTTGCTTGTGAGACAGTCACACAGCTGATGGGGAACTAAGTTTAAGGACTTTTGCCAAAAACACTTTAGTGTGCGGGGTTACTTATTATTTATAGAAACATATTCCTGATTTCTTGTGGTGATGTTTATCCCATATTGATGCTGTGTTCCTTTGCCCCTAATGAAGATTTCCCTCCATGTTATACACAGACTCATTGCTTATGAATGGGTAAATATTGTCTGTTTAGGGCACCCAGGGAAAGTATTTACTTTTTCCCAGGTTATTTGGTCAGGGCTCAAGCTGGTGGCGTTTGTTGGTTTTAAGAGCCTTTGCTGCTACCACCAACACCTAGCAAAAGGGTTATAAATACAAACTCTTGGTACCCAAAATAAACTCACATACAAAATCCCCATTAAAATTAAGCTATTCACTTTCCTTCAGCTCTTTTTCCGATGGGTCTTTCTCTCCCCATGCCCTTTTCATTTCAGGTCTATCAAGCTCAATGTTATCAGAGCTACTTATTCTTGCACTAGTTCAGGGTGGCAACACTAAATAGCTTGGGTTTGTTAGAGTGGTGCAGTGAGTCCATACACATCACTCCTTCTGATTTTTAATGAAGTCTAATTGTTTTGCATTTCCCAGATGGCAGAACCATCATTCTCACAGGGTCCATCTGAAAGTTCTCTTCTGTTAAAATATATTTTAAAATTACTGTATTGTATTCAATGTGCTCTGCCTGTTTTAAGAGCATTGTTGAAACTGAACTGAGAGTTAGCTTAGGTGGTGTTAGACGTATTTTCTTTGGGGAAGGGAAATGAAAGGTGCTGCAGGGGGTGAACGCAGCATTATGGGATGGAGTTGGGAGGACCAGGTGAAATTCTGCAACTGTAATGCCTGTTGTTCCTATATTGCATGAGTGTGCAGCGAACCAGTACAGGCTCCAGGAAGTTGATCTCACAGTGGTACTGCCAATGCCTGTGGAGTGTCAACAGCATTTTTGTGTGTGGACATGTGTGTCAGTCCTCAGCTGCAGTCAAAATACACTTAGCTTAACTGGGTGGAAAGGCTCAAAGAAGGATTCATCTCACCTTTGCATATCAGTGATCCTGGGGCTGGCTGGGTACCATCCTGATCACCATCATAATTTAGGACACCCTCAAGGATGCTGCAAATTATATCCAACAGCCAGGGATGTTCCAACAGCCAGGGATAGCTGGAGCACAGATGGAATGGTGCCAAGGACCTGGTACAAAGATTCATTGCAGATGTTGAAACCTGCAATGACTTTTATTTCTAGTGTAAATAGTCTACTGGTGTATTCCTCTTCTCCTACTCCAATATACATGCTCTGCCGTATTCCTCTTCTCTTACTCCAATACCCACCCTCTGCCAGCCTCTTTCAATGTGCTGTACCTTTTGCCTCCTCCTCTTTGTTTCAGTCTCTTTCATTTTTTTGTTTGAGCCCCCCACCCTTCTTTTTGTGTATGTGTGTGGCGCGGGCTGTCTTTGAGGATCCTCATTTAGTTCCTCCCCCACTTCTACATCCCACAACACTGTAATCCTCCCACTGATAGAGAATGGCTAGATCTGGCTCCTTTCATAAACTGTCAATTACTAGTAGTTCAGTTGGCCAGAAGGGGTGTCTAGAGAACAATGTTTCCCCTTACTGGGTAAGTGTACCCCACAGAGTTCCTAGCCCCTGCTCATTCAGGGAATGAGGGAGTGAAACAAGTTGTGCAGTTTCACCTCCTTTTGTCACTCTTCTTTTTCCCTTGCTCATTTGCTTCCTCCTACTCCCCCAGGATTGCATCTGTGCTGCTATTTCTGAGCATAGCCCTTCCCAGATCCTAGTAGGAGTAGCTACAGATTGAAACTGATGCAATTCTTGTCGATCTCAGTATAATCCTTTGCTGGGAAAGTGCTAGGTGGTATAGGCCAGACACATGTGATGCTTTGCCAGCTACAGTGTCTGGTGAGAATTTAAAAACCATCACAGTACTCTCCCATCAGCAGTGGAGGATTGTACTGTGTATTTCCCCAGGAACAGCAGCAGAGTGAAATTGCTGAACCATCAGTTGCTTTCTGCTCTTACTGATTCTGGCTAAGCACTAAGAGCGGGAGCTGCGGTGTAATTTTCCAAGAGAAGTATTAATAAGACAACATGAGAGTAGGTAATGAGGAAAATATGAGATTTAAACCTCTTTATAAACTGCACTGTCTTTAAATAGAATATTCTTCAAGTCTACTGCGAGGCACCAGAGGGTTTTAAAGTCTTGCAACCATAGTCATTAAACACATTAAAGTGCAAGAAGGTCTCATGATTTTATAAGACATTTTTAACATTTATAACCAGTTGGCTCTAGAATGCCTTTAAAATAGAATTTGGGAGTTTTTCTAAAGACTGGAGGGCTCTACTTAGAGACAGAAGAGAGGGAACAAGGCCTTCTCAAGAGGGAGCAGGATATCATAATCCAAGGGCTTCTTGCCTTACTATAAATGTACAGCAAATCTGACAGGTTGGTATCTCCCACATTCTTATTTAAAATGGAAATGTGTCCTGTTTTAAGCATCTATGCTTTTTCAATGTACAGAGGTCTCAATTCTTGGTAAACCAACTGTGAGAGCAGGGTGTTTTTAGAAACTGTAGTTTTCAGTCAGCGACTGGAATCTGAACATTTTACAAGGGGGGTCAAGAGTAGCAATTGAAAAGCTTTTTTTCCTCAGAAAGAATTAAGGATTCTTTTAAAGCAGTGTTTTCTGACTGGTTAGTCCCAGGTCTAATCTAGAAGTCAGAGTTTTTCTAGTCAGCGACTTAGGTCTCACAGAGATCCCGAATTATGATTTTAATGGGACTACTTGCATGGTCAATAAGCACTACTCACATGAGAAAAGGTTTGCAGGTTCAGAACTTTAACTTTCAACTTGCCCGAAGAAAAGTAAAGATGCTTGCACCCTTGAGTAGGCTCAAAATGGAGGGTAGAAGCAGATTACCCCTACTTACTAGTTAAAAACAAAGTTGTTTATAATGAGTTACTGAGCATATATTAAAAGTAAATATTCTAGTCAGATTCCAGTTGCTGAATGACTACAAACTGGAGAGCTCTAAAAGAAGATAATGAAGGAAGGCAAATGTGTAGTCTAGACTCAGCTACCCAGTCCCTACATTTGTAGTACCCAGGCCTCATCCCTCACCCTACTAAACAATCCATAAAACCTGCAGCAAATTCTAGTACCCTACTATTTAATCTCCCACACAGCACTCCCTCAACCTTCCACCCAGCATCTCTCCACCTTCAGCATTGCTCACCCCTCAGCATGGAGTACTGTGGAATCCCAGCATGGAGATTCCAGTGGAATCCCAACAGCACCACCTAGGTCCCCATGGCTTAGTATAATATACTAAATCCAGCAGTTGCTACCCACCACCCTCCATCCATCAGCACCACAGTGTTGTTTCTTGCTGTTACCACATCCAGCAAAGGATTGTTGGGTGCAGCCACAAAGAACAGTGATAGTGGAGTCATGGCCAAAACAATAGCTCATTTTGGGAGAAGATTGGACATCCCTGGGCCAGAGTGAAAAGTGCAATAGCTCTTCCATTCCAGTGTTCTCAGTATTCCTCTCCCACTCTTGTCTTTGTGCCTTTCTCCATACAGTACCCTTTGCTTGAAATTCACTTCATGCTCTGGTCTGCCACACCACTATCGTCATCTTCCCACTCCCTCCTCCAAATCACACTTCTTCTGTGAAGCCTATAAACCGTAGGCATTCCCCTTAAGAAACTGTATCATACATTTAGTTAAAAGTGTATAAAACACCAAAATCCTTGGGAACCTCTACCCCCTGTACGTCACTTATTAAAGCTCATTGGATTTCCTCTATTTCCCCCTCCTCCAGTCCTTGTAGCCACAATTGCATCTCAGTTTAGATTTTATACCCTTTAGGGCAGGGCTCCTGTCTTTCATCTGTCTATTAAGCACTATGGACTGTAAGCTACATAAATAATTACAAACACAAAAATACATTAAAAGATGCCCAGTCATCCTTAATTCTGGTATATCTTTTGAGTGATTGACTTTGCAATAATAATGTTCTTTTAACATAGTTTTATGTGGAAGCGCCTAGGTTTTTTTAAAAAACATACTGAAAAAAACAGAAATTCTATCATATGTCATCATATTGATATCCATGCTTATCATCAACAGTGCTGGAAACTTTAGATCCACCACACAGATCTCTGCTATTTGAACTAATGGCGTACCTGACAGCAATAGTGGGTCATCATCCAAATGGAGAGTAGCACTTTTCCAGTGGGTTTCACAAATGTTTGCTGACAGACAAGAAATGGTAAAATTAAGGAATTGTTAGTTTCATTCCAGACTGTGGAGGTTAGTGAGCTCTAGTGGGCAGAGCCTTCTGTCCGTTCCTCCCACCATAACCTCTTCTGCCCCCTCCCTCCCAACCTGTCCTTATCCCAGTCTCTCTTCCCCTGATTTCTGGTCCCAGAACTATTCTTGAACCCTACCTGGTCCCAGTCACCACCTCACAGGTTTCTCATCCCAGTTTCTCATGCCCAGTAAGTCCTAGTCTCTCATCACATTCCCATTTCCTATTTCCATGCCCAGCCATCCCCAATTTTCCCCCTCCTGGCTTCAATATATCTCTTTTCCGCTCCGTGGCCTCCAGACATCTCCCCTCACCTGTTTCCCTCCCTCCACTGGCTTTCAGTCCCAACCTTCCTCACTGGGCTCCTTGTTTTCCCCTTCCCCAGCTACTTCACCCTTTATCCAATCACTCCCAGTTCTTTCCCTGCACACTGGCTCCTCAAGTTCTTCCCCTGCCCCCTAGTTCTTATTCAGTCTCCTCACCCAGACAGTCTCAATCTCCCTCCAGGCTCCACGTCCAACCTGTCTCCCCCCACATGTGACTTCCAATCCCCCCTATTCCCAGTTCCCAGTCTTAGTGTCCTTGTCCAACCAGTCTCAGTCTCCTCACCCACAACTCCCAGCTCCAATTTCCCTATCCCCCACAGCCAGCCTCTGTCCTAGTCTCATCCCCCAGACTCCTTGTCCCAACCTACTCTTCCCATGTCCTCCTCCTCGTCTTTTGTCCCCTCTTCATTCAGATCAGGAAATTAGGCAGCTTCCTCCTCTGTGCTGCCTGAGCCCAGATGAGGGAGGGAATGGGGGGGGTGAAATTGAGTGTACAGGAGAGACAGACTCTCTTCTCACAGTTTAGGTCCCTGAACCCAACCCCGCCTGCAACATGTCAGAACTACAATTGCAGAGAAAGTCCTTATCAGCTCCGGAATGGGCTGACCCACTGTGGATAGAATCTTTGGGGCATATAGCTACTAAAATCTAAGACTTCTCTACAGAGCATGTGTAAACTGAGATTTTTCAAAGACTTATAAATTTGTCACATTTGGATGGATTTTCAAGACACATCCTTTTATGTTAAATAATTGAGAATGGAACCTCCTTCTCTCACTCACACAATCATGTCTTGGACTAATTTCCATCTTGGTTCTTCTCTTGCCTTAGCATGAAAACCTGTGCATCTTCTCTGTGCATTCAGCCTCATCCTTTCTGCTAATAACCCCTCCCTCCTTGTTTTAGTTGATCTTTGCCATTTTGGATAATTCTGTCCTCCTGAAATGCCACAGCTATGCATCTTTCTCTCCTCCCTTCCCTTCTATTTCAACCTACCTAATCATTGACATTCTCTAGAGGTATTACTTCCCTTTTGCCAAGACCCCTCTTCTTTTGGTCCTGAAGTTGCCCTCTGTCTACCTACCATCTCTCTCACACTCCTTATCTGCTTGTGAAGCACTTAGTTGTGAAAGTAATGTATACTGCATACGGTAGGTAGATACTCTCAGCAAATGCACATCTTGGGTCTTAGTCAATGGACAATGATGCTACCAGGGCAATGGGCTGGCTTTATAAAAGCATGCTTTAAGCAAATAAATGCCATCCCTATGGAAAAATCATAAAGTTATGTTTATATGCCAAATGATTTAATTTTATTTATGTTATTAAAATTAACTTCATTTATTGTTTTCAGGCTTGTGATTGTGATAGTCCTGCAAGTTTTGTCTATCGTTCACTCATTGTGGGCCTGGTGCAAAGCCCTTTGAAGTCAATGGAAAGACTCCCACTGACTTGCATAGGCTTTGAATCAGACCCCAAATTCTTATGTATCAAATAGCTGCAGCGATCTTCCTATTTTATTACATTGCATTTCTCCTTTCTTCATGATCTTACAAGGCAAAGAGAGGTGTACACCTTTGGTTGCTCTGTGTGTTCTTGAAAGCACATAGATTGCAGTTATATCCTGCCTGGTCCTGGACGATTTTTAATTTGTTGAAGAGCAGCTCACACAATGAACACAGGAAGATATGTCAGCCTTCTATCAGAAAAAGAAAAATGTGCAAACTTATCAGTAAGTATCTCTCTTCCTCGAGATATATTGTAGGTCATAAACATTATGTATAGTATTTATTACTGTTAAAGTGCACTATAAATGTAACTGAGGGATGAGTCCCAGAAAATTTGGAAACAAGTTAACAGAGAGTTAAACCAGACGTTTTAAAGTGGGTGCACCTGTGCAGGGGAAAGAGGGAAGGAGGAATGGAGATAGTAGGGGACTCATTCAAGGATTTTTTTTGTACATTTACAATCCACCCAGCATAGGGGCAATGTATAACTCCCCCATGGGCCCTCCCTTTTGGCTCTGATCCATAATGATCCCATAATTGGAGTTTTGGTAGCAGGGGGAACACCTCCCAGAGCTGCAGGGGCAGCAGCCTTCGGCCTCATTCTTTCCCAAGAGCAGCAGTAGTGACTCTCTCACACTCATGGAGAGGCAAAGGTGGCAGTTGAGGGGCCCAGTACTTACCTCTGTAGCCAGAGTGTATCTATTTGGGTGAGTGAGATGGACCTGCTGCACTTTTTTCTTGACATACACAGAATCCTATTTCAGGGTGCTATTAGCAGGGCCCCTCACTACTTTTGGGTGTAGTTTATACCCCACTGATATAAATGAGGAAGTTCACCCCTCAGAGCTATTGTATCTATTGTCTGCAGACTTGGGCAGATGTCACTACATCATTTACACTGAGATCATTTTTTCAAACTTTTCTTCTTAACCACAATGGCTAGAAATTTACTTCATTTCAAATTAAAGCTGAGGTTCTGATCAATTCACTTGACTCCAGGAACTTTGGGTCCCAGGCATAGGTCTATAGTGCTTTATGCTTTAATCAGGCCTTGAATAGGGGCAGAACCAGGGTCTCTCTCTCTCTCTCCTGTCCTTACATACCTGTTAATAGCCAGTGCCATCAGGTGCGTTGCCCTTGCTCTCCCTATTGTATGCAGTCACATTCTGATTAGGGCCAAATACAGGAGTAAGGTCAGGACCTTACTCTCCCTTATTTTACTGCATGGCTAAACAAGGGCTGTGACAATCTAGTCCTTAATGGTTCTAATATTGAAGTTCCCATATGAACAGTGAAGCAGAATATAGGGTTGTAAGACACATAGTAAAGTACTTTTGATCACTGAAGACCGCAGCCAAGCTGTCTAAGAAGCAATTAACAATTTGGCCTTACTTTAACCTTTTTCTCTTGTTGTCATATTTGCTCTCCTAATTTACAGCAAGAAAAGTATGTTTATATTTCCCTTACTTCAGCAGGAGAGCAATAATTACTTCTGACAGGTGAACTACAATATTTTTGTAAAGAGAAAGCGAAGGGAGACCCCTAAAGTTCCCAAATAAGTAAGGGAAAATAGGTGTAGGCCTAAAAATAACTTATTAAGAGCACAGCCAATAACAGATATTGAAGAGACCATTCACGGGAGACTGGAGCTCCAGCAAACATAATATATAAACTGGTTGTCTGTAACAGCATTAGAATTTTAAAACCAAAGCCCCCCTCCCCCCGCCAGCCTCCCCACCCCCCCTCCCGCAGAGATGCTATATTTTTTTGGATATTTTTTCTTCTATCCAGCAGGCAACAGACACAGTGGATTCAGGCAGACATGCCAAATCTTTTGCTGCCATCCTGAATTATATTGATCATAAATTAGGCACTGCATGGGATGCAACAGGACATCAGACAAGAAGTTTTATGATATGGTAGTCTAATTTGAAACAAACAAAACAAAAACTTAAACTCACAGCAAAACTATTTGCAGCCTCTCAAGAAGACAATAAAATTATGGAATACAAAACTGAAAGCTTTGTGATGCACATTTCTGTCACCTACTTAAAAAAATATTCCAAATGTTGAATAATGCTAGTAAATTGAATGGTTATTAGTTCTTGTGAAAATCCACATTCTAAAAAAACTGACAATATAAGGCATAATATATCTACTTACAAATAAGGAAACTCCTTTGACTGCTATAAATGCCATGCAAATCATTACATGATCAAGTAATTTTGAAACTTTAATATTCATTTCTGACTGATAAGATCACTATCATAGCAACATAGGACAGATTATATCATCAAAGGACCTACATTATCTAAGTTCTTTCCAAAAATGACAGCAACACTATGAAGTATTCCTATGGTGGTGGTATTAGCATATATGCAAACTGTTCCCATTTATTATTTTTATGAAAAAAATACCTTTTTTCATTCTGTTTCTCCAAAATTATATTTTAGTCTCCGGTATTTTATTTAAATCCTACCCTGTTTATCTCCTTGATATGTCCTTATGATCTATTTCATATGTAGAGTACTAATAATTCTGAAATCTCTTCCAGTTTTGACATGGAGATACTTATAGGTTTGCATCTCTCTAATTTGTCCTCTTCAGTGCCCTTTTCCTATAACTTATTTTGGATTTCCAGGAATGGAAATGTAGTTTAATTAAAAATAAGAATATAAAATTATGGGCCAAATTCAGCCCTTGCAACTCCAGTGAAGTCAGTGGGTTGCATATGAAGTGTAAATCAAGGCAAAATCTGGTCCACTATGTAAACCCATTTACAGTATTTAAAAAAAAAGCTGCTTTTACGAATGGCCTTGAGATTTTAAAGAAAATCTACCTATATTTCTTGCAGCCTAGCTAAACGAATTAGACTTCCCTTTTTTTCAAATAATAGGCAAATTTCACTGTCTCTCTATGGATGGCATTTTAAAACCAATACTATATGGAAAGATTTTTATTTAAAAAATTATCTTCAGGCTAAATCACTGTGATTTGTAAAGAATAATAATATGAACTGTCAAAATCTTGCTAAACACAAATAGACTGCGAAACCACTTTTTGCTAAATGTTATTCTAAATCTCAAAGCAACCTCTATAAATCTGAAATTCAGAAAGGGCAATGGGATCATCCCTGGATGAAAACCATTTTTTATTCCTTTTAATGAGACAAGTTCAAATTTTGTCCTAGGGATGTAAAGTTTTAATTAAACACTTACACAGTTTAACTACAGCTACCCATTCCCTGTTGCAAACAGCCAACTATTATTGTTCTATCTAGTAATATTTTTTTAGCCCTAGTCTTTCCAGAGTATAAGAAACAACAGTAGAGAATTGTCTGATTTAAACAAGCTGCTTTATGTTTGGCTAGTGCCCAATTAAATAACCAAGAAAGCAAGCAATTATAAACTGTTTAAAAGGAAATCGCTGGTTTCCTTATTTAAATTCTTAAGTTTTTACAGTCTATCACAAAGGCTATTATTGCAATGAATAATTTAATCACTCTGGTCTATTACATGTCATTATACTGAAAACATGGTTTCAAGGCTGTGAAAGACACCGGCAAGTGTCAGCACTTGTTCCAGCCCAACCCAACTATGCTCCTAGTATATTCACTTTAACAAACTAAGGAAGCTTTGGAAGGGGGAGAGGGTGTTGCAGGAAGGGAGCTGGGAGATCAGGACAAAAAGGAAAAAAATCAGCAAGACACTGTTAAAAGACGAAAGGTCAACACAGATTAGGTGCTGTTTTGGTGTCATTTCATCTGTTTGTCCCTTGGTGGAGTTCTTGAGTCAGTTTCTCCTTTCCCGTCAAATCGCTTTAACTGCTTTATATTTTTTCCCTAGAATTGGCTATCATGTTTACTGTATTTAACCTTTTCCTTATATTATTGTGAATATGCCACCTCCTTTCAGTGAAAACCCACCTGAGATTCTGCCTACAGGACCTACTTTATTTTCCGGGTACTGCCTCTCCTCCCCCCACTTTTTTTTTTTTTGGTCACTCTTTTCTTCGAGACTGGAGTATCCATTGCGGATACTAAATGATATTTTCAGTGTGACATCGACATTCCCAACTGCAAAAAATAAATTGTGCGGGGGGGAGGGGAGGAGGAGAATAGCCAACTCCAGCGGAGAGTTGGTAGGCACGAAAGATGAAATCGGGGTCCGCCGAGAAATTGAAATAAGCTAAAGGTTCATTATATTTGCATATTTACCAAAGGACTTTAACTATTCTAATCAACAGATACAATTACACAATCTGTAAGCTACCGAACAGGGAATCCTGGAGCTGCAGGGGAGAGGAGAGAAAAACCCAGTGATGGCTTTAAAAGGATTTCCCGTGCATAATAAAGGCTAGACATGTCAGATGGACGTTAGTCCCCACACAAGCTGCCATCTCGCCAGTATGATAAGATGTTCCCTTTAAAGACACAAGCTCTCAGTTCAGAGTAACAGCTGTGTTAGTCTGTATCCCCAAAAAGAACAGGAGTACTTGTGGCACCTTAGAGACTAACAAATTTATTAGAGCATAAGCTTTCGTGGGCTGCAGCCCACGAAAGCTTAT